ATTCGCTTTCCTCCAGTCCTCAGGCACCTGCCCCGTTCCCCACGATTTACCAAAGTTGATGGAGAGTGGCCTAGCAATGATTCCGCCATCTCCCTCAGCACCCGCGGGTGCATCCCATCAGGACCCATGGATTTATGCACGTCTAGATTACTTAACCGGTCCTTAACCCAGTCTTCACCTACCAAGGCAAACTCCTCCTTTATCCTGACTTCCTCTGGGGCTTCAGGGGTACGGGGCTCCTCAGGAAAGCCTCCAGCAGTATAGACAGAGACAAAGAAGGCATTCAGTAACTCTGCCTTCTCTGTACCTTCTGTCACCACAGCACCCACCTCATTGATCAGTGGGCCTACACTGCCTCCAGTGTTAGCCTTATCTGCAATGTATTTGAAGAAGCCCCTTCTATTGTCCTTGACCCCTCTAGAAAGGTTTAATTCTAAGGAGGTGTTAGCTTTCCTAGTTGCCTCCCTACGCCCTCTGACAACATTCTTATATTCCTCCCAAGTGGCCAGCCCCTCTTTCCATGATCTGTAGACTCTCCTCTTGCAGTTGAGTTTGCCCAGCAGATCCCTGTTTAACCATGCAGGTCTCCTGGCACCCTTTCTCGACTTCCTACCCGTTGGGATGCTCCAATCTTGAGCTTGGAAGAAGCAGTCCTTGAACGCTAACCAACTATCTTGGGCCCCTTTACCTTCAAGTACCCTGTTCCACTCATAGCAGGGAGGACACAGCAAGAAACAAGAGTAGGCCTTGACACTGTGCAAGCACTCTTCAGCAATTGCCAAAACACTAGTGTGTTATCAACACTGTTTAGGTCACAAACCTAAAAAACCAGCCATATAGGCTGCTATGAAGAAAATTAACTAAATTCCAGCCACAGTCACAGTTCAACTTATTATAAATCCATTGCAAATTACATACCTTGCAATCCTTAAAGGGAGTGGTCTTGGATTGATTTCTGCTAAAGTACTCATCAATGCGTGCCTGAAACTTTTTGGCAATGAGAGCACCATCTTCCCAGCTACATTCTGAATAAGGCAGACCCTGCCATTTGCAATAGTAGTCTGGATAACCAGCCGCTGATTTCTGATTTGAATGAGCTGCAGAAATACACCAGAGACATCTGATCAGCATTTTACTTCTGAACGTAAACTTAGAAAAACACTCATTTTAGGTAATAAGACAAAAACACTCATTTTAGGTAATAAGGCAACACAAGCTAGTGCCATAGCACAGACAGTATGCCAAATTTTCTCTTTGCCCGGAGTCTTGTTCAGGATTAAAAAGTTAGTGATATTAATATTCTAAATTTCTTAACTACAAATGCAACATATAAGCAGTGAACATTCTCAACACTGTTTTCTGTCTGCAAGTTTGTAACATACCAATTATTCTTTCCACTATCTGATATTGCTTATGTAGATCATCTGTAAGCTCCTGCTGGCAGTTGTAATATTCCACATCTTCTGGAGATGCATTTTTCAGCCTGTGATGGGAATTAATTTACAGCACTTATTATACTGTATAGTTCTGAAACTAAGAAAATTTGCCAAATCTAAGGCTCTGAATGTAAGCATCATAGGAATGTTGCTTAGAGAGCTTGTCTGAAGGGACAACTTCCTGATACAAAATTGTTGCATCTGGCCTAGGTGCCTCATCATAAATGACAGAATGCTTACCAAGAGACAGAACTACTACAGCTACAGGTGGTACCAGTCATGCAGCTAATTCAGAATACCTATTCTCAACAATAAGTAGTGTACTTTATAGGATATTTTCATGGAATAGTATTCAGGGTGACCCATTCTGTAAGAATCATCTTATGATTAAGTTGCTAAAAATCCCACCACTATTTGCTGATCATATTAAACATATCAATAAAACCGAACACCAAAAAAGTGACTTTAAAATGTATCTGTTCAGGTTTTTGTTCTCAGCTTTGAGCCTCAGGTTTGAGCCAAGAAAACTGAACTCTTCGAAGTGATCTGGAATGGCTAATGCCCCAAGAAAATATTAATCGCTGCAGTGATTCCTGATAAACTCTGTTCAAAGCATAACGACAAAATTAGCAAAAGTTACAATTTATTATTTATTTTTAAACAATGCCCATCTTGTTAAAGCTCCATTTATAACACACACACACACACACACACACTAAAATCAGATTCACAAGATCATCTTACAGGAACATGTTAAGGAAGCTTCAACTTCTAAAGTTTTTGTCTTTCTTTGCATAGACAGGAAAATACCCTCAAGAAGAGGTAACAGGTCTCAGAAACACAGACGACCATCTACATTGTTACAAAATGAGTACTGTGGAAGTCTACATAAAAGTATTCACCATCGTTTTGTTTCCTGATCCTTTTTCTTATAATTGTCCAGTTTCTTCATTCCTTTAACATTTTGTTGCTTCAGTGTTTCCTCAGTTTCCCAAGTGTTATGGATATGTGACCAGCCTTTCCATTTAATAAGATACTGTATTTCTCCTGGCTCCTTTGACTTTTCAAACCCAGCATTTGGGTCACCATCTGCCTCTACTGCATAGATGGTGGTTGCAGCACCTGTGGCTGAGAAAGAAACCACATCATAAGCCTTAAGTGTGCATCGTCATAAGTTAGCCAGTAAGAAACGTTGTGTAGAAAACAATTAGTGATACATTTAGATGAGCACATACTTGAGTAGCATCTACAGCTCTCATGTCATTACTCTTTATTTGAACAATTATGATGCAGAAATGTTAACATACCCAGAAGTAGTCAAAAGAGAATCAAAAAAGCAACCAAAACTTCTGCACCTAACCTACAACATCTTCTCTTTTCTCATGAGAATTTTCTTTGCATTTCTATTTTTTAAAGTTATCACCAGGGAACGCTCCACTTAACGCTGCTTGGTGTCTTCCCTGTTACATTACTCTCATCTCCAAGCATAGAAAAGACATCATGTTATGCCTGGTCAGCCTTGAGACATCAATAACTTACTACCAAGGATATTAATACATCTATTTCTTCCTAAATAGGTTTTGCTACTTTTTCTGCCTTTATCTTACCTGGGAAAATTTTTCATTAAGTACAGTCTGTATCACAGCTGAAGCAAACTAGCTGCAGGAAACAGGCTCATTTCAGTGAGGACAGCAAGGTGAGGAAATGAGCCCAGCAAGCTGTGGCGGCCAGATAAAGCAACAGAGACTGGCAACAGCAAAAGAGCACAAGCAGCAATATCATTTGGGCAGGAAGAATATAAGCAGCTTAGTTCCAAAGGCTTTGACTGCAGCAATAACACTATGCATTGGAGCAGGACATGCTAAAATTTGGGACAGCATGAGAGAGTAAAGTTGAGAGGAAGAAGAGCTCAAGTTCTGAGATGGGTCAGAAACTTTAGAGATTGGGTATAACTAATGGAGAAAGGGGCAAAGGGCCTTAGGTTTGCTGGTTTGGGGTTTGTGTTTGTTTTTATAATTAGAATTCTAATTTGCAGACTCAAACACATAAAGCAGAACCGCTACATACTGCATCCCATTATTGCTGGAAATATGCAATGACCACTATTCACAAAATACCTGTAAGAGTTCACATGCAAGTGCATCACTCAAATTTTAGATGCATTTTATAGTCATTCCACACATTGCACTATACTGAGACAATTTGTACAGCAATAACTGAAATCACAACCTCAGTTGTTCAGCCTTGCCCACATAATCTTTCAGTGTTCAGGTTACTAGTCAACTCTCCTATCTAGTCCACTTTCTTCACTCCACTGTACATAATTAATAGTGATCAAGTATGACTAATCTGTACAAACACTGGTGTAACAACATGGTATGCATTTATGCAATACAGAGATATCTTCCACTTAATTTTTACTTTCTACTTCGGTATGCAATTCTTCTACATTTTACTTTGCAACACTTAAAAGGGACTTTAAAAAGGAGCATCCTTATGACTATGAAAGACAAAACAAGATGACTTTTTGGTAACTTTAAAATTATTAGTGTTTACAAACCTCACACGTGACCTACAGCTGAAAACATTTGCTGAAGTTGCACCACAATGCACTCCAGGATCTTAAGAACACCAACAATAACAAAAAAATACCTCCTTTTCGGCCAACTCTACTATCCATGAACTTCTCTATAGTTTCAAATTCATCTTCTTCAGTTTGTGGGACATCTTCTCCACAAACTTCCAGCAAATCATCAGAATCTGTCTTCGCTTCTTCAGCTTCTTTGTAACTAACATTGACTGTTGCCTGGCGACGAGATCCTCTCTTATCGCAATCATCATCATCATCATCATCATCATCTTCCCCCTCATCCTCCGATGAATCAAGTTGCCTCTTTTTTGGTCCTGCACACTTTTTCCCACTTTTTGGCTTAATTCTTGAACACAGTAAGATATGACACAACAATGATGTTTCAACAGGGTCAACTATAGACCTTCTGTATTGCTTTCTGAATAGATGTATTTCATGAATGCTCAGTTACTCTACTTTCAGTTACAGCACACACGAAAAGGCACTCACTAGAAAGCATCAGTACACTAACATCTTATGTAGCTTTAAAAATTTTTTTTTTTAATAAGCATTAATGTTTTCATTCACATGTAGTATTAGTAGAGTTCCAGAGTATCCAAATGCATGACTCCTTACCTACTCGGAGGTTTCCGGCTTTTGACCTTGTTTTTTGGCTCATAGTCAGATTCACTCTCTTCACAACTGCTTTTCTCCCTATCTTCCTCTAATTCAGAATCAGAACCAGTTCCTGATACTGACCCTGATCCCGACATTTGCCAGTCTTCACTGTACATATTGAAAGACAGAAGAGTAACTTACATTATTTTTTTTTAAATAAAGTATTCATCCACAGAGTATGTGCTGTAATTTCACAGAAATAAAAATCTTGTAACAGTTATTCCAGCTGATGAGACAGAAAATTGCCATCAATAATATATAAGTAAAAATGTCCAATGGCTTCAAAGGGAGTTGGACTAAGTTTTCTGTTACCAAGAGGTAGATTTAAAAAACAAAACAAAATCTGGATTTCTACATAAAGAAATACATTTCAGCATAAAGAAATGAGTTAACACGACCTTAAGAAACCAAAGCACTTAACAACCCCAACTGCAAATATAGATATTTATCAGAACTTACACATGCTCAAATCATAAAGCCCTGTCATGTTATATTCTGGAGCGCCCCATATCATCTAATGCCTATGGTCCCTGTGGCCCATGTGAAGAACCAGCAACTTGGCACAGGAATAAAAAAAGAGAGGCAGATTTTAGAAACGTGCAGAAAAACTTGAATTGCAGCAACCTGACTGGCACTGGCTCCCAAAAGCTTACACTGAGCTCCCTGACAAGTGCTTCACAACCAGGCAAGATACTATGAGTAAGACACTTGTGACTGAGCAGCAGGATCTCCTTGTTCCTGCTTAACTGAGACCTTCTACTTTGCAACAGGAAAGATGTACTTACTGAGAACAGTATCTTGCTTCAAACTCTCACTTTATACTGGCAAATATAATCTTAATAGCTTCATGAAAAAGAAAGAAAAAAAAAAAGTCTGGCATACATTATTGAAAGGTTGCTAAATCTTCACACTAACATCAGTTTTAGGTTTACTTGGCAAAGGCACCAGAGCAGTAGTAATGCTCATCAAAGCTGGAACATTGCCAAGAAATCTCTTCCTTAAATTTCCAGTCAGGAAGCCTAGGAATCAGTGCTTTGATCCCTCTTTTCTTCTATATTTTCTGTCTTCCAGAACATTGGGTCCTGGAGGAAATCACATTCCCATTGTTCCAGTCACTCAAGACAAATACATGTATGTGTCTATTGTACAGATGGCACATGGCCAACGCTAGAGTCTTATTACAATACTTCTTCTGCAAACAGTAAATTAAAAAAACATAATAACATAAATCCATTACCTGTATTTATGTGGAAATATAAAAAAAAAAAAAGATATAAAGCACCATCCTCTAAAGCTTGATCATGCACCAATTTATATATTGAAAAGTTTCCAATATTCATGTCCGATAACAACTGCAGACATACTTGTTCAGAAAAGCAACAGGACAAAAATACAAGCACTGGATATACGAAGTGATTTGGTTATAGGTTCCTAAACTTTAATATCTTTCCTGGAACAGACTATGCTATTAGATGCAATCAAATTCTTAACAAAAGACTGTGAATAACAGGTCATTGCTAGCAAAGTACCATTTCGTGCAGTTCTTTTCTTGCACCTTTTTTTTTCAGCTAATATTTCTTTAAGATATTATACTGGCAACCCTCCCTGAACACTTGAGATGATTCATGAGATGGGAGGAGTGATAAAATAGTTCAATTTCCCACACCATTCATAAAAAAAACACAGGTCACTGCCTCTCACTGCCACGAGAACAACGTATAATCCTTTTCAAAAACTTCTGATCTATCACATAGAAGGAGCTTATTTTCAGTTAAAAGTCTTTGCTAGTCAATAAAGAGGATCACTGTCAGAACTATAACTTTTGAACATATCAGAGGGAAAAAAACAAACAAAAAGAATTTGGCATTAAGTAAGGGATTCTAACTTAAATTCGTTGTTAGACAACCTACTTAAGTAGTTTCTCATTTCTGGAAGAACTTCTCAGGGAGGGCCTTCAGCTCAAAAATATACTGCAACAAAGTATTTTAAAAATAAAAGCACCAATAAATGTTTTTGAACAATATTGCAGACTCTTTTGCTTAGAAATTAATATAGTATAGATGTCCCTTTGAGACTTTATTTTAAATATTCCAAAATGTTTATCAAAATTGGAAATCTAAGATCAAGATGGAGAAATGAAGCATGAATTATGAGCATACGCCACTACGACAAAATATGTGATATTACTTATGAAGGGATCTTACTCTCTATGTTTTTTCTTCCTGGTTTCACTAGATGAGTCATCTGTAGAATCTTCACTACCTGATGAATCCTGCCAGTGAAGAGAAAAAAAAAAAAGCAATTCATTATCACAAAAAGAATGAAGTACTTCTAACATTAAAGAGCTAGATCAGCTCGCACTTTCAAACTGGAGGCATACTATTCATGCTTTACCTTCTTCATCCCCTACAGTGTAGCTGCTAATGCGGAATGAGAAAAGGACTGCTATCGTTTTTGTATTTATCCATGAATACATTGTGCCAGCAGAGCTCTAGAGAGCATAAGAAAAAGACCCATCTTAAAAAATAAACCATTGTGCCTACATAAACACAGTCATAATGTAATTTGCTCCAAGTTAATAAAGATGATGGTTCTATGAAAATCCTAACAAAATCTCCTACCCTCAGGAGCTTTCTCATCTTCTGTATTCTTTCACATTTAAACATCAGTTTAAGAAAATTTTGAGAACAGCAGGTTTCTTCTTTCTCTATGCCCAAAGAAAAAACCAAGAACCCTCTTAAAATTAGATTATCCTAAAACCAATCTCAAAGTTTAGATTTAGATTAAGTTTTATCCTGAAAAACAACTTTCGGAGAGTACTTAACAATAGCTGTAAATTAATGTTTTAATTATAGGTTCTCTGTTTAAGTTTTAATGATGAGTTGCTAAACCAGACAAAAGCAGAAATCCAACCAAATGAGTGTGACTACAGTGCACTGTTTCTGTAATGAGGAGAAAAAGTCTGCTTTATAAATAAATTCCATTTTATAGTCACTAGTGTCTCTAAAAGATGTTCCTACTGCACAAAGTCAACATTTCTTTAGCCTATGACTTAGGTTTTAAATTCCTAAAATACAGATGTTGTTCTTAAAACACAGTAATTCTTTTTTGTAGAAACAATTAAAAAATTTGCAAAAATGCGGTTTCCTACTCCATATAAAATTTCTGAAAACCACAGCAGCTACCTTTACACAGAAATAAGTTGAATAAACTCTTCTAGCATTTTTAACTGTTTTTAAAAAACTCACAAAGCCAAAAATACAATGCAAGTCAGTACCATGTGGCTTGAAAATTTTGTACATACATCACAGAACATCTACCTAAAAATACCACATAATGAAGGCTGCTATAATTCTGGCACAACTCAGTTTAAAACAAGTAACTAGAGATATTTTTACTGTTGTTTATTAAAATGTCAGTTATTGGAACGTTACTTTTATAGACTAAAACCAGACTTGCAGGAACACTTAGAGAATATAATTTGTCTCCAGGCAATTTTATTCTAATATATGAGACAATGAGATGGGTATATTTACATTTTTAAAATCTAAATTATGTTATTCACCTCTTCTGAACCACTGTCTGATGAGGCTGCCTTTTGTTGTTGCTGTTGCTTCTTGAGGACTGCCGATCTTTGCACAGCAAGTATACTTGGACTAGACTTCCAAAACTGAATAGGGATGGAGACGCAAGAGTCAGTTAAACATACTGAAAGTCTCCAGTTTACCACATATTTACCTTTCCGGAGTAGCATCACTATTAAAAATGATATTAAATCTTATCAAATAAAAAAAATTCACTATGAAGTACTGCATGCACTAATAACTTCAGATAGTTTTTAAAGCAGTTAAGATTTCTGCAGAACAGAATATTACATAATAATTACCAAGACAATTTCTGCAGCACATTTAGCAATAGTTGTATAGGTGTTGTTAACGTAAAACATTTATAAAGTATATTTCTAAACAGACACAAATAAATCCTTTCAAATCACTTAGTTGATAGGTCTTTTGTTTCATACAGTAATACTTGCACACATGAACAAAAACATAACAGAGAATCCTTAACAGTCTTAAATTCTTGTGGTAACTAATATATGACCACCTTTCATATACATGGTCTACCATCCCATTAAGTCCATATAACACAGGAGAGTGCACGTAATTTTGGCCCACTGCATTTAAGAGATTTCTAAACACCACTTTTTCCTGAATTTAGCTCTCTTACTGATGAAGAAAGCATGTATGTCAGAAAGTATGTAAGCTTTAAATTTTTATACAATCATTTACTGGTAAAAGGAAACTAGACATTAGAGAAACAATGTAAAAAACAGAACTTCAGAAGTAACAACAGTACGTGTGCCTTTGTCTTCCATAAGTTCCAGTAAATTAGGGTATGCTTCTGCATGATGAAATTTAGGTACGCATTTAACTCAAAATACTTACAAATGTGAAAATTCTAAAAGCATCAATTCACAGAAACAGAGAAGGTTAGAGATTGGAAGGGACCTCGA